CACTGCAGCCTGTCCCTTGCAGGTACAGCAGGAGCGAGATGAGCTGTACAGGAAGTTCACCGCGGCCATCCTGGAGGTGCAGCAGAAGGTGGGCTTCAAGAACCTGGTTCTGGAGCGGAAGCTGCAGGCGCTGAGCGCTGCTGTGGAGAAGAAAGAGGTGCAGATTAATGAGGTGCTGGCGGCCTCCAACCTGGACCCTGCCGCCCTGACCCTTGTGTCCCGCAAGCTGGAGGTAGGCCCCAGGCGGGCTCCTGGGGAGGTGCTGGGCTGGAGCCTCATGTCCTTGCCCCCCAGTAGGCGTCCTGAGCTCGGGTTGGGGGTCGCTTGTTTCGTGTGTTTGTGTCCAGCCTCCGTCATTCCGGTGGGGGCCCTCAGGTGATGTTGGGAGGGTCCTGGGTTTCCTGTGGCCTGAGCATAGATGGGGCTGCAGATGTCTGCTCACAGGCCCGTGTGTGCCATCAGGCTCCCCAGGTTCTCTTTGACTGGCTTTGCTCAGGTCTGAGGTCTTCTGCAGTCCCCTCCTTAACCTCTCAGCCCCTCTGGCCCTGAGCCCACTGCCCGTCCAGTTCTCGAGATGGGTTTAGTTCAGCCTATCAGGCCCTGGGTTTCCCAAGCTGCTGTGGGCCGGCGCTCCTCGGGAATTTGGCAGCAAACCTAGAGACAGGCTTGGGGACAGTCGGGCCCGTGAGCTCTCAGCTGAGACTACTGCCACAGTCTGCCTGGGTTGCTTTGATGTCCGGATGTAGGCTGTGGGCAGTTAGGACGGGGAAATGCAGGGCCGTGGGTGCCCCTTTGTGGTGGCGGGTGCTGTGGCAGGGTTCCCAGAGGGAGTTATGTCTGAGCAAAGGCCACAAGTTCACAGTTCCTCGTGGTGCTCCTCTATGCTGGAACCATCTTGGGCACTGGGGACAGCAGTAAACACGACAGATGGGGCCCGGGTGCCCATGGGCTGGTGGGGCCAGCTGAGGAACCCTGGCAATAGCTGCCAGCTTTGGCTCAGCAAGCAAAAGCCTGACAGCACCTGGCAGGCCGTCTTGCCTGGAGCTGGGCCTTGTGTCTCTGTTCCCTGGGCCTAGTTGGGGCATGTCACAGAAAGAACGGGTGAGGCTGGACAAGGGGTCTCTGGGCTGCCGCGGGAGTGCGGCTGTGCAGGGATCCTGGCCACCTGGGTGACCTACTGTAGCTGCCGGGCGTGAGACAACCCCAGGTGCAGTGCCCTTGGGTGCCTGGGAGACAGACGCGGGTGTGCATGGCCCCAGAGAACGCAGCTGGTCTGTATGTCTTTATGGAGAGGCCCAGTGAGGAGAGGCCAGCTTGTCCCAGAGGTGGATCCTTCCAGGATAGACGGTGCCTGTGTGTGTCTGCTTTTCCTTCATGGAGAAACAGATCTTCGGAGTTAGGGGCTGCTGACTGCTTCGGTTTGCGCAAGCGTGTTTCATCCTGAGAAATGGCACACATAGCATTTTAAAAAAAATGTTTTATTTATTTATTTTGAGAGAGAGCGAGAGCGAGCAGAGGAGGGGCAGAGAGAGAGGGAGAGACAGAGAATCCCAAGCCGGCTCTGCACTGACAGTGCCGGAGCCTGATGCTGGGCTCGAACCCACGAACCGTGAGACCATGACCTGAGCCCAAACCAAGAGTCAGACGCTTAACTGACTGAGTCACCCAGGTGTCCCTACACAGGTAGCATTTTTTAGGTGATTTGTCCCTGTGTAGTTCAGCTGAACATAAACCCCCCTTTGCTCACATGACACCCAGGCCCTGAGGATTAACTCTGTGTCAGGTCACTTCATGTTTATGTAAAGCATCCTGCACTGGCCTACTGCCCACCTGGCCTTGACCTTAAGCTTGCAGCTCCCACTTGGTTGTATCCTTGTGAGCCCCTTGCTGCTGCTTGGGTGTTGGGGGGAGTGCAGGGCTGAGGCGAAGGGGCAGAGCCAGAGGGATGGGGGTGATTCTCACGCTGTTGGCTGTGCCCCTGGGTTTGGGACTGGTAAGGAAACATGGAAGGTCCTGGGTGGGGCAGACTGGATCAGAGAGAACCCTCTGGGAAGGTGGGAGGTGAGCTGGCACTGAGTAGGGGTGAAGGACTTACTGCTGGTGGAGAAGTGCTGAGGAGTCCAACGTTATGGAGTGCCCATTTCTGGATGAGACCAGGTGCTGCTTTCGGGCAGCAGTGAGTCCTGGCTCAGGGGGTGGCAGGGCCAGGAGGGCCTGAGTCACTCAGGACAGGCTCTCGGGGCCTGTGGTGGTGCAGCCACATGGGAGGGGCCTAGTCCGGGCTGGCGGCACCATGGACTTGGGTCTGGGGGCCCGTCTGCGTCCTTGTTTGTCCTTGTTTGTGTGTGAATCCCTGTGAACGCCGGCCGGCGGGGAGCGAGGGCCCTGTTAGAAAGGTCAGGACGGCTTTCCTGCCTCTACTTTTGGGAGGGGCAGCTGGTCTTGGAGCTGGATGAGGCTGTGTTGCCGGCACTCCTGATGAAATCAGTCCGGTCCTCAGCGGTTGCTGCAGCTGTGCCTGTGGGCCAGGGTCACCGTGGGCCAGGTGGCAGCTCTTGCCTTTCCTGGACACTTAACTTCTCTGGCCAGGCAGGAACCCTCCAGGCAGCGGGTGGGGGTTCAAGGGGCCTTCCCTGGGCCGTGGTTGGCCCGGCTCCTCTAATCTCTTGTCCTCACTTCCCAGCATCTAGACAGTCGCCATCTGGAGAGGCAGATGGTATCTTCCCTTTCTCCTCTGAAGACCTGTCTGTGCGGCTGGCTGCGCCCTGTGTGGATGCACACCGTGATGGGGTCAGGCTGCCATTCCCTGGATGTCTGCGGTCCCCTGCTGGAGCTCCCAGACCCCTGCCAACCCCCGTCCACCTCAGCTCAAAGACAAGCTCTAACTCACATCCACCTTTCTCTCCTTAGAATGTTCTAGAATCAAAGAACAACGCTATCAAGGACTTGCAGTATGAGTTGGCCCGGGTCTGCAAGGTATGAGGAGCCTCCTCGACCCTCTCTCAGGGCCCCACCTGATTTACACTTTGAGGCATACACAGCCTGAGGCCGTCTGGGCCTTCTCAGGGTCACTGTGTGTGTGGACTGGGTCTCTGATGCTGCCACGGGGGTGCGGTTGTGCTGGCATCCTGGCCACCCGGGAGACCTGTAGCTGCCGGGCTTGAGACAGCCCTGTCTCAGCTCTGGCCATGGTCCTGGTGTCCCTTACAGGGGCCTGCCCAGTGGATGCCTACTAAATGAGGGTGCTCTGTCCCTGTCTCCCTGTTTGACCCTTTACTCTTGCTGACCTGGCCTCTGGGGTGACTGGTGGGCCTCCTTTGCTTCTTCTATGTAGGGGACAGTTACGAGTCTAAGCTTCTCTCATTCCTTTGTAAGTCTGATGAAAGCTGCACCCCGTACCCACACCAAAGCCACCAGCAGTGTGGAGGCCTCCCGCTGTTGGGGAGTGGCAGGGAGTGCCTTGACCCTTCTCTTGTCTGCCTCATGAGCCCCAGAGGCCTGGGCCCTCTACCCGGTATTCACTCCTCTGTGGGTGAGCCCCCAGCTCTGCCTTGGCTTTGCCTATGGGAAATGCAGACATAGCGCCGCCTACAGATACATTTACCTCGAGCAGCCACCCCGTGAGTGTGACTCAGATAAGCCCATAAACCTGCCGGTGGACATTGCATCCTGGTTCTACTGTGCACCCTGGGTTGTGGAACCCCAGGAGGGAGGCAATGCCTGTCACTGGCGCTGGGCTCCAGCGCCCGTGACCAGATCTCCCTGAGCCTTTCCTCAGCCCTGCCCATCTGGACACTTCCCTTATATGCTCTGGCATCCCCTGATACTTAGAGCTGCAAAATTAGAACCATCTACTGGTGTGTGCAGTTCTAAGGGAATGTATCTGATTGTCAGGAGGTCCGACCCCCAGAAAAAGGTGAGAGCCAGGACCTAGCCCCCAAGTTCTGTCTGGAGCCCAGCCTGAGCTCACCCTTTAAATCTCAGCTCCAAGCATCAGCACCTTTTTCTTGGTAATGGTGAGGATGATGTCAGACCAGGCTCCAAGCATTTCCTGCGCATTTCAATCCCTTGTAACCAATCCGATGCAATTAACTTAACTCTTTAAAAAGTATCCATTTTCCAGAGGGGGGGGGGAAGACAGGAACCTTGCCTGTGTTGGCCCCACCAGCACTGTTGCCCAGACCTTAGCCTTCCTGGGATCGGGGGATGGAGGGCCGCCTGCCTGCACTCTCCACCCACAAGGCAGGGAGGGTCATATACACGTGGAAGGTCATGCCCGTGAAGTCAGGGATGACTGATTTGAATGAGAAATGCCTGGCAAGGAGCCAGGAGCACGTTCAGACTCTAGTTCTGCTCTGAGTCTGTATCTTCTGCTTCAGTTTCCCCATCTGTGAAACAGGAATAATGGCAGCGTCTCCCATTGTGGGTTAGCTGAGTTATGTACGTGAAGGTGCTTATGATCAGGTGTGGCGTACCGTGAGCCGTTGGTAAAGGTTAGCTTTAAATGGTTTTCCTCCACCACCCTCCTGCACCCTCCAGAGCTGAGTAAGGCCTGGGCTAGAGTCACCCTCCGTGTGGCTCCGCCCCTCCCGATGCTGCTCTCACCCCACAGGCCCACAGTGACCTGCTGCGCACCTATGAGGCTAAGCTCCTGGCCTTCGGAATCCCTCTGGACAACGTGGGCTTCAAGCCTCTGGAGACGGCCGTGATTGGGCAGACGCTGGGCCAGGGTCCCGCGGGGCTCGTGGGCACCCCAACGTAGTGCCCGCCTGGGACTGCTCCCTGGATGACACTCCCTTTCACCAAGGACAGGAGCGGTTTGTCTATTTGTATCGTCTGCAAATGAAGTTTTTCTACATTTGCTGTGTGTCTTGTTGCCTGGCTACGTGGAGGAGAGGCACCTCCAGGGCCCGTGGTGCCCTGACCACTTCCTTCCCTGCTGCCCTCCTTCCCACCTCGGGCCAGGGCAGCACCAGCCGAGCCCAGGAACCGCAGCAGCCTTGCAGATGCCAGCACTGACTTTATTGACGCCTGAGACTCAGCGGCTACTGGAAATTGGGGGGCCAGAATCTCCCGCAGGGAGTGTGAACTGGTGCCCTCTGTTGAGGTGTCCCAGTGAGCTGTGGGGATGGGATTGATGCTCACAGGCCAGCAGTTGTCCAGAGGAGGCGATGGCTCAGCCACTAGCTTCCTCGATATGTGGTGTAGGACCACGGGCTCAGCAGCAGGGGCACATGGAACCTGTGGGTCTCGTTGGTGATGGTGAAAACGACCTGAGAAGCAGAGAGGGCACCGGGACAGAGTGAGGGTCCGGTGCAGCACACAGGCAGCCCAGACTGTGGACCGGGGGCAGAAGTTAAGTGGGGCTGGAGCCCCGAGGGCCAGATGAAGCCAGTGGAGAACTGGAAAATGGTGAGGGCTGCGGATGGGGCTGAATCCTCCCCCGGAGAAAGCCCTCGGCTCGGGGAACTCGAAGGATCCGCCCTGAACAGGGTCAGGTGAGTGCCTTTGTCCACAGGGGCTGAGTCACTTTTGGCCCTGCCCCACAGCTTTACCCAGGGACAGGGCAGGGATGGGTGTGTTGTGGTAAAATCCCCGGACACCTTTCTTCCGAGAGCTCAAAGCAGGTGAACTCACTGCTTGCCACCGCCCAGGGAGAGGTGGGACCAGCCTGCCCACTGCAGGAATCTTGGTGAATCACAGGCCTCCACCCCTCTGGCCCACCCCCGGCCCTCACCTCCACATACGGGTAGAAGCTCTCCTGCCCCCTCTTCTTCCAGTAGCCCTCAGTGTCAAAGGACAGCTTGTAGGTGCCTGCCTTCATCGGGCCTGGTGGCAGGAGCCCCGGGCAGCGGCCATCCGAGTCGGTGTAGCTGGAGAGAGTGGAGTCGGAGGGAGTGAGGAGTCACCCCTGCCTGGCTCTCCAGGGTCGGTCGGCCCATGGCCTCAGACGCCTCCACAACCTGAGTCACCGGGAATGCCCTGCAGCAGGCCACGTTCTAGGGCCTGGGGTCTAGAGCAGCTAGGGGACACCACTGCAGTGTCTTTTTAGGGAACTCCAGTACAGAGAAGCAGAAAAGGAAAAAAAAAAATCTATTCCATGAGCAACAATCCCTTTATACTGGCATATATTTTTCTAGATTTTCTCTATGCATAACTATGCTTATTCATAAACTTGGAAAAATACTCTAAAATGGATTGTTCTATTCATACTGTTTGATAGCTTGCCCTTTTCATTTAATATATTGTGTGTGGCTTTCTGGATCAGTAACTGTCCCCAAACCCCCATCCTCACGGTGGCCTGTTTCCAGCTGTACCGAGTGTCTGAATGGAGGGTTCTGAGGGCCTGGCGCTTTGCTCACTGATTAGCCCCCAGTCACGTCTGGAAAGTTCTCCCATTGTTCCTGCCACCTGTGCTTTCAAGTTTCTGTGCTGCGACTGGAAGGAGCAGCATGTACCCACACAGTTTATGGGGGAGCAGTTGGGAATGGGTCTCTAGGATCCTGCGGGGGACTCCATATATTCCTTCAAGAACCTGGAACCCCAGCCTCTGCGAAGGGGCAGGGGATGAGCTCTCTGTCCTCAGGCCCTGAACCCTTGGGGCTCAGCCGTCCACTCCCACCACCAGAGGGAACCTGCCTCCTTCAGGAGACTCAGGGCGGCCCCAGCGCTACAAGGCAGGGCCTGGGCTGGGCCTAATCCAGTGGAGCCTGGGGCAAGGGGCCAGGGCCTGCCGAGCCGCCCACCTTTTGCTTGCCTCTCGCTGCCTTAGTCTCCGCGACTATAAAAGGGGTAATTATGGAGCCTGGCCACAGGCTGTAGTGAGAATAAGAACACAAGAAAAGTGTTCAGTGCACTGCCTGGCACAAGGTTACCTATTAATCACGGTGACAGTGAGGCGTTCAGATGACACTTCAGGCCTCAGCCAACCCTGCCCTCAGGGAGAGGCAAGCCCTGGCTCCCGGCCCAGTAGGCACTGGGGCTGTGAGGCCGCACCAGTGTGTTCTTTGGCCCCGAGGCTGAGGGGACCATAGCACGGTGGTCAGCACTGCCATCCAGCCCACACTTCCTGGCTATCTGGACTCTCTGGGACTCTCAAGCCTACCTTTTTCTCAGCTCCGTCCACTGCTGGCCATGGTCCTCGAGCCTGGACAGACGGAGGCAGAGGCCCTGGGCTGGGAGCCCTGAGGCCGTGTCCAGCACATGCGTGGTCAGCGGGCTGCTGACCAGCTCCATGCCTCTGCCCTGAACCACGAGAGAGGGACAGGGATGAGCGTGTGGGGCCCAGCCCTGTGTCCGCACTGGCGTAGAGACCGCAGCCTCGGAGTAAACAGCCCCAGAGGACAGAGTCCCCAGCTGCCCCTGGACCCTGGAGGAGGCGGGGTTGGGCTGGAGTCCCTGAGTCAGCTACGTGAGGCTGTGGGGCCAAAACACTGAAAAACGCTTCATAAACAATGCTGGTCTGACCCCCATTCCCCCACACTAGACCCTACTAGGGCCCCCTCCCCTCCGCCCAGCCACTGAAGGGCATCTCCACACACGGGCTTCCTTCTCCAGCCAGTCAGTGCGGGCAGGGGTTGGTCAGACCCCATCTCCTCTTTCTCCCAGAGCCCCTGGCTCATGCGCCACCTCGGACCTTAGCCCCCCAGGCCGCGACGAGCCAGGAACCCAGCGTCCGGACCCGCCCCCTACCTCCGAGGAGCCCAGGTGTCGCTGGAGCGCCCGCAGTCGCGGAGCGGCCCCCGAACTCATGCCGGAGCCGCCCACGTCCACCACCCCTAGAACGGTGGTCCTGGGACGCAGGTACCTGCCCGAGTCCGCCCCTGCCCTCACCCTGGCCCCTCCCAGGACCCGAGGGCCACGTGTCGGGCCAAACCCAGGTGGGGTGCGCGGCGCGGTGGCGGGGAGGGCGGCTACACCTCGGTGTCCACCAGGGGTGTCCGAGCGGGCTTCGCTGCGGAGCTCTGGCGTGGCGACGGGGGCGCACAGACCTGCGGGGGCCGCGGAGGCTCCTCCCAGGGCCGGAAGTGAAGTTGAGGGCACCGGCGGGAGGTGGGGTTTGGGGCGGGGCGCGGCGGGGGGCGCGGGGGCGGAGGGGGGAGGGGCGTCCGTTCCGGGTCTGTTGCGCCGCAGGCGGGGCGGGGGCGGGACGAGTAGGTCCGGCGGAGATCAGCGTGGGCCGCGGGCTGCCCTGACTGCCCTGACGGCCCTGAGAGACCACGTGACGGTGCCTCAGTTTCCTGTCCGGTTCTGTAAAACCCTCGGCAGTAACTCCCAAGGCTGAGATGAGGCGAAGCTGTCTACCTACCTCTCTCCCCTTACGCCCCTCTGGACCCCCACCTCTAGGGAGGCTCTGCACACTGACAGCTTAGGGCCTGGGAGAGAGGAGCAAGTGACAGAACTGAGCGGACGGGTATCGCTCAGTCCATCGCCATATTGAAGTTCTTGCACATAAAATATTTTATGTAACATAAGTAAGGGCACTCTATATTTAACATCTGGAAAGGTCTACACCACCATGTTGGTTGACTGGTTGTGTTGTTCTAGGTAGGGAACCTTTTTCTTGCTGTCAAAGGGCATTTTCCAACTACTGGATGGTGAGCATGGACTGTGTGTAGGTTAAGAATCACACCCCTTCAAGTCAGGGAAGAAGACCCTCCTAGCAAAGGTTGGGAGTGTGCTGGTTACACCTACTTTGGAGTTAATTAAGAGATCTCTATTTGCGGGGCTCCTGGGTAGCTCAGTCGGTGGAGCCTCGGACTTTGGCTCAGGTCATGATCTCGCGGTTTGTGAGTTTGAGCCCCAAGTCGGGCTCTGTGCTGACGGCTCAGAGCCTGGAGCCGGCTTCGGATTCTGTGTCTCCCTCTCTCTCTGCTCCTCCCCTGCTCACGCTCTGTCTCTCTCTCAAGAATAAAGATTAAAAAAAAAAAAAAAAAAAAAAGAATATCTATTTGAGGGGTGCCTGGGTGGCTCAGTCAGTTAGGTGTCCGACTTCCTCCCGGGTCATGATCTCACTGTTCGTGGGTTGGATCCCCGCATCTGGCTCTATGCTGACAGCTGGGAGCCTTGAGCCTGCTTCCGGTTCTGTGTCTCCCTCTCTTTCTGCTCCTCCCCTTCTCATGCTCATGCTCTGTCTCTGTCTCTCTCTCTCTCTCTCAAAAAGAAATAAACTTAAAATTTTTTTAAATAAAAAAATATCTATTTGAGATTTAAATTTTTTTTTCAACGTTTATTTATTTTTGGGACAGAGAGAGACAGCATGAACGGGCGAGGGGCAGAGAGAGAGGGAGGCACAGAATCGGAAACAGGCTCCAGGCCATCAGCCCAGAGCCTGATGCGGGGCTCGAACTCATGGACAGCGAGATCATGACCTGGCTGAAGTCAGACGCTCAACCGACTGTGCCACCCAGGCGCCCCTATTTGAGATTTAAACACACATGACGTTTGGCTGGGATTATGTTTACAGGAGATAACCCCAAAGAGAGGCTCACACCTGTTTTTGCCAACACCCGTGGGTACGATGGATGAGAAACAACCAGATGTCTCCACTGGGGACAATTAAATAAATGAGCTCTGTTAACAGACCGGCATGCTCTGCAGCCCATTAAAGAGAATGAGGTCCATTTGCGTGTAACAGTGTCCTGGAGTAGTGACTAGCCGCAAGGCATGACACAGGGTGTAAACAGGGGGAGGCGTCTATACCTTTCTGCTCTGAGTGTGTGTATAGCTTCAGCTACATTAAAAGCTTTGCTCACTTAATCCTCACGGCCACCTCATGATGTAAGTATTATTAACCCCATTTTACAGAGGAGGCACAGAGAGGCCAAGACCTGGAATACTTTCTAGTATGCTACCAGCAGACTTACACCAGCAGCCACTCTGGGACAAGCAACTGTGGATGGGGTTACTTATTTTTGCTCTTTAACCTTTCTTTGAACTCTTAGATTTTTTTATTTTTGTACTCTTAGAATCGCTAAGTCGTCTCAACTGCCATAAGTAAACTGACAAGAACAACCATGAAACCTTCGTGGGGGTGTGCCCTGTGACTCCCTTTCTAGAGACCTGACACTCTTTGTCCCAAGAGAGAACTTAGTGGCCGGGAGAGAAGGTGGGGGGAAGGGAGTTGTCGCAGTTCCTTCCAGGGCCTCTCCAGGGCCCGTTCCCCATCCTGCCTCCACCCAGACGGGAACTTCAGTGTCTAGGGCCCCTGCCCCTTTCGCAAGTCACTTGAGACCCTCAGCCCCTGCCTGGCATCCTGGCAGCCAGCCCTCTCTGAGAACCAAGATTATCATGGGGACATTGCACACTGGGAACTTCCCTAATGAGAAGGTGACAAGGTCCCTTGTGGCACCTCTAGGCAAATCAGAATAAGGCGCTTCATCTTCAAGGTCCTCATCTACCAGAAAATTGTCATAGTAGATGTTTAAATGGCTCATCTTTGGATTCAAAGTTATAACATTTGAAAACACTTAAAAATGATAAAAACACTTGCAGTGTGAGGTATATATGTATCAAGTCAGTGCACGGTCTGATTGGCTGTGCACGGTGCCTTGCCGATCCTGGTGACAAGGCTGGATACTCACCTGGGAGCTCATCTTGACAACCCATGGGGACCCTAGAAAGGCAAGCGTTTGGCGAAAGGCCCTGGTGGCCCATACTTACAGCCTCAGGCTCTCGTCCCCGCCGGCAGATGGAAAGGCACTGTGAGTCTGCCACTGGACAGTCTGTGTGAGAGAAAGTGAGGAGAAGGGTCCTGGTCCCCATGGCTGGAGGTTGCCCTAAGGGGGAATGAGACAGAGGAGATCAGACCCTACAATTGTGAGCCGCTACAGTTCCTCCAACTTAAACACCGTCCCATGAGGTCTGCTGTCCCCCCCCCCCGGGGCCCCTCCCCATGGTCCTATCTCTCACTGGGTGACTGAGCCAGCCTGAAAAGGGGCTGCTTGATCTTACCGTTTGTCTCCTCTCTAATCTAACTCTAAACGCAGCTTCGGGGCGCCTGGTTGGCTCAGTCGGTTGAGCGTCCGACTTCGGCTCAGGTCATGATCTCGCAGCCTGTGAGTTTGAGCCCCGCATCGGGCTCTGTGCTGATGGCTCAGAGCCTGGAGCCTGCTTCGGATTCTGTGTCTCCCTCTCTCTCTGACGCTCCCCCGCTCATGCTCTCTCTCTCTGTCAAAAATAAATAAAACATTAAAAAAAAAAATTTAAACGCAGCTTCTGCACAGCGCCCTGAGTACTCACTGGGCCCTTAGCACCACCATTTATGGGTACGGTTTGCCAGGTGCTGGTGGCCACAGGCAACGTGACCTGAGCAGGGTCTTATGAGAGTGTGTGTGTGAGTGTGACAATTCGTGTGAATGTGTATGATGTGTGCGTGTGCACGTATGAGCTTGTGAGTCTGCATGGATGTTAGTCTGTGGGAGTGTGCATGAGTGACTGTTTTAATGTGATCTATGTGAATGTGAATGTGCACATGTGAGTGTGCAAATGGGTATTTGTTGAAGGTGTGTGTGACATGGGCCAGTATGTGTGCACTTTGTCCCTTAGGGTGTCTGGAGGCAGATCCTGCCACTCTCTTCCCAGCGCGGGTGGTGCTGTGCCCACGGTCACCTTTGCTGTAACACAGCAGCCAGGCTGGACCCCCTGAGTGATTTTGCTCGGAAGCCTGGACAGCCTGGCTCAAGCCCCTCCTTGCCCCCTGGGATGCTGGGAGGATCGTTTTCACTCCTCAATCCTGTGTTTTCATCGCAATCTCAATCCTGTGTTTTCAGTAAAACAGGTAAGAGAACACAGTCCCTCCTCATCAGCTTCTGGGAAAGATGTGTTGAGATAATGTACGCAAGCTCAGCCGCAACGTGGAGCTGGGCATCAGAGCATCATATCAACAGAGGGATGTCGCCCAAAGATGAAACATCCAAGCCCCTGCCGTTGTCTACAGCTATGACAACAGCCGAAAATGTGTGGTTCTCCACGCTGTCCTCGTGCAGACTGGCTCGAGTGGAAATGACGCCTGTTTCTGAGCTGATGTCCAGCTGATGGCTGGGGTCGTGCCCTATCTGGTACCTGAAAGGGATAAACCCTCGGTTCTTACAGGGCTGGGGCCATGTGTCCCCCAACCACCCTCCCGGGGCATAATGAGCTACTGGGGGCTGACAGATTTAAGTATTTCCTCCGGCCAGCTCTCCAGGCACGTGGCTGGGTCTCAGCCCTGGGTGCCTTGAGCAGGTCCGAACGGCAGCAAGGCCAAGCCACACCTCCAGTCCTACCTGATTTCCTGAGAGCGGAAGCTGTCTGGGTCCTGGGCCCTGTAGGATGTGATCTCCTGGCCCACACTGGTGTCCTTGGGCATTTCCACCATCTGTATCAGGGGTACAAAGACAGGGGCCTCATTCACGTCCAACACGTCCACGGTGACCGTGGCCGTAGAGGTGAAGAGAGATGCCAAGGGCGCTGCATCCACCACTGTCACGTAAAGGACGTACTGCTGCGTGGTCTCAAAATCCAAGCCCTGAAGAACATAGCAGAGGGCGGTCAGGGGACTCAGGCACATAGCTTTCCAGGACTTGGCACAGGAGGCCTCCCTTTTGCTGGCCTGCAAGAGCGCTCAGGCCCTGGCTTGCTACCCTCTGCCTGTCTTGAGGGAAGGCCACAGCTTGGTACGGCGGGCTGTGTTCCAAAGATGGCCACAGAACATCACCCTTCGCACGTGCTTTCCTGAGCACATCGCCCAGAAGCGGGGCCCACGTCCCCTTCCCGTGAACCCCAGCAGGCTTCCATCGTGGTTTCTCCTACTGCAGGTTGCCAGTGTCATGCATTCTGACTTCAAGGCTTTGTTACCCAAGATGAGGCACCCCGCCCTTGCTCACTGGAGCGTGAAGTCAGAGAGCCCTGAGGTCACCATGCTATGAGGAAGCTCATTTGAGCCCCCGGCCTCCAGTCCTGGTCACCTCCAGTCCTGGCCACAACTGTGGGAGAGACCCTGACTCAGAATCACTGAGTCTTTCCTGAATTCCTGACCCATGGAGGTAAAAAACTGTTCCATTTTTTAAGCCACTGAGTTGCGTGTGGGGTGATTTGTTATGTAGCAATAGTGGCTGGTATAAGGAGCAACCAGAAAGCTCCCGTTTCTGAGCTTTGTAGGCCAGTTCTCATTTCAAAGAACTGTGGTAGAGGTTTCATATCATCATGCACCCCTGGACTAGTCCTGAGCCAGGACTCCCCGACGGCCACGTGTGCCCAGCCGTGTGAGTGCACCGGGGTAGAAGGCCCAGCCCCTGCTTCAGCATGGACATCATCCCAGCCGCGAATCTCAGAATTCCCTCTGGCCGAGGCTGGCCTGACCCGAGGCCCATTGGCAGGGCAGAAGCGGCCATGACAGGGAGTGCTCTGTGCTGAGCTGGCGCTTGGATACTTCGCACTTAACATAGCAGTGAAGAGGGGGACTGTGGTGAGGGTTTTGGCTTTGCCGCTTACTGTGCAGCCCAAGCAGGTGACCTCACTGCTCTGAACCTCATTTTCCCCATCGTCGCCTGTCCATAATTGCAGCACTTCCCTGCTGGAGTGAATACTGAGTGTGTTAGTACATAAACAGCCCGTGGCACTTCTTGGGACCCTGTGTTAGCTCTCTGTTTTATTATCCTACACAGGGACAACATGGGTGGTGGGCCCTGAGCAGAATTATCTGAAAGAGTCCCCAGATGGTTGGGCCAGGAGTCAGCTGGGATTGGGTCCTCCTGACTCAGGCCTCGGCACCACCCGCAAGGCATGTGGTTATTCCCAAGGGGTCGATTTGCCGCCTGCTGGCACAATACTCCAGTTTCATGCAGGTCGACAAATGTTCTGGGGCATGTCCTTGGTGGAGTTCTTGACTTTTAGCGCTTCTGTCCCCCAGCCTTGTCGAGATGCCGCCTTTGGCCTTTTCCATGTTTATTCTAGGCGTCCTGGTATCCTGGCACAAGGAGCAGTAAGTGACTACTCCCTCCCCAGTCACTCCTCAGCCAAGCAGAAGTTCCTGAGATTGTCCTTCTCCACCATGACTCCTTACATTCCCTCTTGTTTTTTTTTATTTTCATTTCATTATTTTTTAAATTTACAGTCAAATTAGTTAGCATATACTGCAACAATGATTTCGGGAGTGGATTCCTTAGTGCCCTTACCCGTTTAGACCATCTCCCCTCCCACAACCCCTCCAGTAGCCCTCTGTTTGTTCTCCATATTTATGAGTCTCTTCTGTTTTGTCCCCCTCCCTGTTTTATATTATTTTTGCTTCCCTTCTTTTATGTTCATCTGTTTTGTCTCTTAAAGTCCTCATATGAGTCAGGTCACATGGTATTTGTCTTTCTCTGACTAATTTCTTAGCATAATACCCTCCAGTTCCATCCATGTAGTTGCAAATGGCAAGATTTCATTCTTTTCAATTGCCGAGTAATACTCCATTGTATATGTATACCACATCTTCTTTATCCATTCATCCATCGATGGACATTTGGGCTCTTTCCATACTTTGGCTATTGTCGATAGTGCTGCTATAAACATTGGGGTGCATAAGTCCTTTCGAAACAGCACACCTGTATCCTTTGGATAAATACCTAGTAGCGCAATTGCTGGGTCGTAGGGTAGTTCTATTTTAATGTTTTGAGGAGCCTCCATACTGTTTTCCAGAGTGGCTGCACCAGGTTACATTCCCACCAACAGTGCAAAAGAGTTCTTTCTCTACATCCTTGTCAACATCTGTTGTCGCCTGAGTTGTTAATGTTAGCCATTATGACAGGTGTAAGGAGGTATCTCATTGTGGTTTTGATTTGTATTTCCCTGATGATGAGTGAAGTTGGGCATTTTTTCATGTGTTTGTTGGCCATTTGGATGTCTTCTTTGGAGAAGTGTCTGTTCATGTCTTTTGCCCATTTCTTCACTGGATTATTTTTTGGGGGGGGGTGTTGACTTTGATAAGTTCTTTATAGATTTTGGATACTAACCCTTTATCTGATGTGTCGTTTGCAAATATCTTCTCCTATTCTGTTGGTTGACTTTTAGTTTTGCTGATTGTTTCCTTCGCTGTGCAAAAGCTTTTTATTTTGATGGGGTCCCAGTAGTTCATTTTTGCTTAGTTTCCCTTGCCTCTGGAGACGTGTTGAGTAAGAAGTTGCTGCGGCCAAGATCCAAGAGGTTTTTGCCTTCTTTCTCCTCGAGGGTTTTGATGGCTTCCTGTCTTACATTTAGGTCTTTCACCCATTTTGAGTTTATTTTTGTGTCTGGTGCAAGAAAGTGGTCCAGATTCATTCTTCTGCATGTCGCTGTCCAGTTTTCCCATCACCACTTGCTGAAGAGACTGTCTTTATTCCATTGGATATTCTTTCCTGCTTCGTCAAAGGTTAGTTGGCCATACGTTTGCGGGTTCCTTTCTGGGTTCTCTGTTCTGTTCCATTGATCTGAGTGTCTGTGCTTGTGCCAGTACCATACTGTCTTGCTGATTACAGCTTTGTAATACAGCTTGAAGTCCGGGATTATGATGCCTCCTGCTTTGGTTTTCTTTTCCAAGGTTGCTTTGGCTATTCGGTGTCTTTTCTGGTTCCATACACATTTTAGGATTATTTGTTGTCGCCCTGTGAAGAATGCTGGTGTTATTTTGATAGGGATTGCATTGAATATGTAGATTGCTTTGGGTAGTGTCAATATTTTAACAATATTTACTCTTCCTATTCAGGAGCATGGAATCTTTTTCCATTTTTTTGTGTCTTCTTCAATTTCTTTCATAAGCTTTCTATTGTTTTCAGTGTATAGATTTTTTACCTCTTTGGTTAGATTTATTCCTAGGTGTTTTATGGTTTTGGTGCAATTGTACATGGGATCAATTCCTTGATTTCTCTTTCTGTTGCTTCATTGTTGGTGAATAGGAATGCAACCGCTTTCTGTGTGTTGATTTTATATCCTGCCACTTTGCTGAATTCATGGATCACTTCTAGCAGTTTTTTGGTGGAATCTTTAGGGTTTTCCATATAGAGTACCACGTCATCTGCGAAGAGTGAAAGTTTGACCTCCTCCTGGCCGATTTGGGTGCCTTTTATTTCTTTGTGTTGTCTGATTGCAGAGGCTAGGACTTCCAATACTATGTTGAATAACAGTGGTGAGAGTGGACATCCCTGTCTTGTTCCTGACCTTAGGGGTAAAGCTCTCAGTTTTCCCCCATTGAGGATGATATTAGCATTGGGTCGTTCATATATAGCTTTTATGATCTCGAGGTATGATCCTTCTATCCCTACTTTCTTGAGGGTATTTATCAAGAAAGGATGTTGTATTTTGTCAAATGCTTTCTCTGCATCTATTGAGAGGATCATGTGATTCTTGTCCTTTCTTTTATTGATGTGATCAATCACATTGATTGTTGTGCGGATATTGAACCAGCCCTGCATCCCAGCTATAAATCCCACTTGTTCATGGTGAATAATATTTTTAATGTATTGTTGGGTCTGGTTGGCTAATATCTTGTGGAAGGTTTTTGTGTCCAGATTCATCAGGGAAATTGGTCTATAGTTCTCCTCTTTTGTGGGGTCTCTGTCTGGTTTTGGAATCAAACTAATGCTGGCTTCATAGAAAGAGTTTGGAAGTTTTCCTTCCATTTCTATTTTTTGGAACAGCTTCAAGAGAATAGGTGTTAACTCTTCCTTAAATGTTTGTTAAAATTCCCCTGGAATTTCCCCTGGAAAGCCATCTGGCCCTGGGCTCTTGTTCTTTGGGAGATTTTTGATTACTAATTCGATTTCTTTACTGGTTATGGGCCTGTTCAAATTTCCTATTTCTTCCTGTTTCAGTTTTGGTAGTTTATATATTTCTAGGAATTTGTCCATTATTTCCAGATTGCCCATTTTATTGTCGTATAATTTCTCATAATATTCTCTTATTATTGTTTTTATTTCTGCTGTGTTGGTTGTGATCTCTCCTCTTTCATTCTTGATTTCATTTATTTGGGTCCTTTCTTTTTTCTTTTTGATCAAACTGGCTAGTGGCTTATCAATTTTGTTAATTCTTTCAAAGAGCCAGCTTCTGGTTTCATTTATTTGTTGTTCTTTTCCCAGCTCTTTAAGGTGTAAGGTTAGGTTGTGTATCTGAGATCTTTCTTCCTTCTTTAGGAAGGCCTGGATTGCTATGTACTTCCCTCTTATGACCGCCTTTGCTGTGTCCCAGAGGTTTTGGGTTGTAGTGTTATAATTTTCATTGGCTTCCATATACTTCTTAATTTCCTCTTTAACTTCTTGGTTAGCCCATTCATTCTTTAGTAGGATGTTCTTTAGTCTCCAAGTATTTGTTACCTTTCCAAATTTTTTCTTGCAGTTGATTTCGAGTTTCATAGTGTTGTGGTCGGAAAATATGCATGGTATGATCTCGATCTTTTTGTACTTGATTTGTGTCCCAGTATGTGGTCTATTCTGGAGAATGTTCCATGTGCACTGGAGAAGAACGTATATTCTTCTGCTTTAGGATGAAATGATCTGAATATCTCTGTTAAGTCCATCTGGTCCAGTGTGTCATTCAAAGCCATTGTCTCCTTGTTGATTTTTTGATTAGATAATCTGTCCATTGCTGTGAGTGGGGTGTTGAAGTCTCCTACTATTATGGTATTACTATAGATGAGTTTCTTTATATTTATGATTAATTGATTTATATATTTTGGTGTCTCACATTTGGTGCATAAATGTTTACAATTGTTAGGTCTTCTTGGTGGACAGACCCCTGGATTATGATATAATGCCCTTCTGCATCTCTTGATACAGTCTTTATTTTAAAATCTAGATTGTTTGATATAAGTGTGGCTACTCTGGCTTTCTTTTGTTGACCATTAACATGATAGATGGTTCTCCATCCCCTTACTTTCAATCTGATGGTGTCTTTAGGTCTAAAGTGGATTTCTGGTAAACAGCATATAGATGGATATTGTTTTCTTATCCATTCTGTTACCCTATGTCTTTTGATTGGAGCATTGAGTCCATTGACATTTAGAGTGAGTACTGAAAGATAATGAATTTATTGCCATGATGTTGCTTGTAGAGTTGGAGTTTCTGGTGGTGTTCTTTGGTCCTTTCTAATCTTTGTTGCTTTTGGTACTTATTTATTTATTTATTTATTTATTTATTTATTTAATATTTTCATCTTTTCTCCTCTGAGAGAGTCCCCCTTAAATTTTCTTGCAGGGCTGGTTTAGTGGTCACAAACTCCTTTAATTTTTGTTTGGGAAACTTTTTATCTCTTCTTCTATTTTGAATGACAGCCTTGCTGGATAAAGAATTCTTGGCTGCATATTTTTTCTAATTCAGCACATTAAATATATCCTGCCGCTCCTCTCTGGCCTGCCAAGTTTTGTCAAAAGGTCTGCCGCAAACCTGATCTGTCTTCCCTTGTAGGTTAAGGACTTTTTTTCCCTTGCTGCTTTCATGATTCTCTCCTTGCCTGGTATTTTGTGAATTTAACTACGATACGCCTTGTTGACGGTCGGTTTTTGTTGAATCTAAAGGGAGGCCTCTGTGCTTCCTGGATTTTGATGTCTGTGTCTTTCCCCAGGTTAGGAAAGTTTTCTTTTATGATTTGCTCACATAACCCTTGTACCCCTCTCTCTCTCTCTTCCTCTTCTGGGACCCCTATGATTCTGATGTTGTTCCTTTTTAAATTTTTTTTTTCAACGTTTATTTATTTTTGGGACAGAGAGAGACAGAGAATGAACGGGGGAGGGGCAGAGAGAGAGGGAGACACAGAATCGGAAACAGGCTCCAGGCTCCGAGCCGTCAGCCCAGAGCCCGACGCGGGGCTCGAACTCACGGACCGCGAGATCGTGACCTGGCTGAAGTCGGACGCTCAACCGACTGCGCCACCCAGGCGCCCCTATGTTGTTCCTTTTTAATGAGTCACTGGTTTCTCTAATTCTTAAATCGTGCTCTTTTGCCTTAATCTCCCTCTTTTTTTCTGCTTCATTATTCTCCATAAGTTTGTCTCTATATCGCTGATTCTCCATCCTTGCTGCCGCTGCATCCATCCGTGATTGCAGCTCAGTTACAGCATTTTTTATTTCATCCTGACTAGTTTTTACTTCTTTTATCTCCGCAGAAAGTGATTCTAATCTATTTTCAACTCCAGCTAGTATTCTTATTATCATGATTCTAAATTCTGGTTCAGACATCTTGCTTGTATCTGTATTGGTTAAATCTCTGGCTGTCATTTCTTCGTGCTCTTTCTTTTGGAGTGAATTCCCTTGTTTCATCATTTTGAAGGGAGAAAAGGAATTAATGAGGTAGAAAAAATTAAAATTAAAAAAATAAAATTAAAAAATTAAACACACACACACAAAATCGAATATGTGATGCTAGATCCTAGGTGTGTTTTGATTGTTGAAAGTGGCTTGATAGGTTAGATAAAAAAGGGGGGGGAAAAAGGAAATCGTTTGAAAACTTGAAAAAATGAATACACTGAAGTAGACTAAAATGAAATGATGGAAGTAAAATAGAATTTGAAAAAAATTTACACAAAAGTAAAGAATATAGTAGAAAAAATTAAAGAAAAATATTTTTAATAAAAATTGAAAATAAAAATGAATTTTTTCCCTTTGTGTTTTCAAGAAAAAGAAAAGAAACAAAAAAGAGAAGAAAAAAGAAAATTGAATAGATGGACCTGCTAACAGATTGAAATACGACGGAAATTACTTCGTTTTCCTGTAGAAGGCAGACTATGAAGCGCTTTATAGTCCATAAACCAAGCCGGTGGTGAGCCTTGTGTTCTTGAAGAGCGAAGTTGGCCCAGTTGGGCGGGGCTCGCTGTAACAGCGCCGCTCTCCCCTAGATGGCGCTGCTAGCCTACTGGGGTGGAGTGTTGCAGGTGGGTGCGAATGCGCATGTGTGGGAGTGGTGAAAATAGCGCCGCCCAGCTATCCAGCCTGTTCTCCCAGATCAGCAATTGCGCACCGGTCCTCTGTCTTCAGCTCTCATCCACTCCCTGCTTTTTCACTCTCCGTGACCAGGCCCCAGTCCGTAACTCTCTCCTGAGTTTTGTCTTAGACGCGGCTCTTTTCCCTGGCCCCTTATTTCCGAAAGATTGCGGCTTTGACCCGTTCCGCCCCTCTGCGGGAGGGTCTCACCGAGCAATGGCCGAATGGGCAATGGCCGAATGTCGGCTGCACCCAGGAGCTCCTGCTGGACCCCGCTGTTGCCGGTACCCCGAGACTGCAGCCAGGTGCCAGGCCACCCCCAAAAAAGTTCGCGAGACAGTGTAGCAGCAGTGTTTTAGGGACCATGGAAAATCACAACACACACGTGGCACCAGGCTTCACCCTTAATGACCTTGTTCCAGCACCAGCGAATGTGGCTGTTCTCTGGGGTCTTCTGCGACCAGGTGGCCTCAACAGTCTCTACCAAATGTTCTTCCAGCACTGGAACCACTTTTTCCCGTGTGGCCCAAGAACCTCCCGGACTCCACTCTGCTCCTGGGGATTCACACTTCCGACCCGAGCACCACCAGGTATGGAGCTGTGGAGTTTCAGACTCTGCATTCCCCTTGTTTACAGTCTTAATGGAATTTAAACCCTCGCCTTTCTCCTTTTTTAGTTCAGCCCCTGCGGCTGTTTCTAATTTTCCGCTTTCTCTCCAGCTGCTTTTGGGGAAGGGTGCTTTTCCCGTATTCTCCCCCCTCCCCAGTCTCCGTCCTCTCTCTGCCCGCAGAAGCGCCTCCCTTCCCGTGGTTTCTCTCTCCCCCAGTTCAGCTCTCCGCGCCGCATCCCTGCTGAATTCTGTGGTTCAGGTTGTGCAGATTGTTGTGTTAGTCCTCCAATCAGTTTTCTAGGTGTGCAGGATAGTTTAGTGTTGGTCTGGCTGTATTTCATGCATGCGAGACACACAAAAAACTTCCATGCTGTTCCGCCATATTGGCTCCCTCCCTCCCCTTCTTGTTTTTTTTGTTTGTTTGTTTGTTTTTGTTTATTTTTTTATGTTTGAGAGAGCGAGCGAGCGAGAGCGAGTGCATGGATGTGCATGTGCGCATAAGCGGGGAAAGGGCAGAAAGAGAGAGGGAGAGAGAGAATCCCAAACAGGCTCAGGACTGCCAGCAAGGAGCCCAACGTGGGGCGTGAACTCTCCACCCGTGAGATCATGACCTGAGCCGAGATCAAGAGTCTGACACTTAACGGACTGAGACACCCAGTTGCCTATCTTTTTGTTTCTCTCTCTCTTTTTGATAGTTTATCTTCAGTTTATCCGGGGGAATGGGGAGTAGATGGTTCCAGTCCCCTGTGCCCACTCTGAAGACCACTGTGGCTCAGGGGACCTGGCTTCCTGCCTCTAGGGGTAAAGCAACAGTTCTAAGCATAAGGGAAGGGAGACAAATGTCTCAGATGAGACGACTGCTCAGGCATTGCTCACAATGACTCTGGAGGCCTGAGTCCTCTATTCTTGAGCCTCCTGTTCTCTCCCCACTTCCTGTCCCACTCACCCCTTCTCAGTGCTTCTGGGGCCCCTCCCACTTTTGGAGGAACCCAGATGAAGACCCCTGTCCCAGTGTAGCTCTCTGAAAACATCCCAGGTTAGTGTTTTTCTGGGAAAAAGCTGTTAATTAGGCAGCATTTCTGAGGTCCAGGGTGATGGCATGGCTGTTTTGATGCAAGGACCGGGGGGGACCCCCATCGCAGTAGAAGGCCCCCACTGGGAAACTGCCTTCCTGGTGTGAGGAGTGTGGTGTCTGCTCCTGTCTTGGTTCAGGGTGGACAGAGCCAATCGATCATGGCGGCCACCTCCTTAGAACTCACACCTACCTTGGCTGTTTTCAAAAGGCCATTGTTGGTCTCCGGGTCCGTGGTGACAGTGCAGAGGCCTGCTCTGTCATTCAGGATGGAAAACGCTGCCTTCCCTGCTGGAGAGCCTGGGGCATCTTCTCTCTTCACCTTCAGTCTCAGTATCCCTGCATCCACCTTGTTTTCAAACACCTGGCCCGTGTACTGCAAGAGAAGGACACAGACACTCGTCCTTGACATCCTGTGTGGGGACCTGGGAAGCAGCCTGTGGCAGCCTCAAGGGATCTTCAGCAGGATGGGCCGTGGTAGAAGGGTCTTTTCTTGAAGCGGGTGTCTCTTGGCCTGAGCGACAGTGAGGGGCACCTGCAAAGGCCCTGCTCAGTACCCTGGACGTGTGCGTCAGCGGTGGGGCTTCCAACAGCTCAGTGTCTACTTCCACTCTGTGCCGAAGGGACGGGAAAGGGTGAAACCGTGTCTCCTAGCTCCTGAAGCTTGGACCCCAAAGTGTGCGTCAGCCGAGGAGGGTATGTGCCCCTGGCCAAGTGCAGCCATTCCGGGCTCTGTTCTCAGGTTGCAGCCACCGTGCGAAGCTCCTCAGATCCCAGCTGAGGCCATCAGCCCCGCAGGCTCAGGAGCCAAGCGAGAAGTTGGACCTAGAGCGGCTCCTCCAGCCTGTCCCCCGCACCTCGCTGTCAGGTCCCTTCTGACTCAGTCTCCGTGGGGAGCAAGTGTCTCTGTCTTACATCCTGCACACGAGACTGTTAGGAGGGCTCTGCTGGAACACCTTCCAGGCTCAGGTGTGACCCTGACTCCAGCCCTAGTCACCTTGGGAGGGCCGCTGGGTTTATTGCCCAGGACTCTGTGGATGATAAGGTGACGTCTACAAGTGTCTCTGCATTTCGGTTACAGGGAATTCAGGCACGTGAGCCTCTGCTGTTCTCTGTCTCTTTGTATCCTGGCGTACCTGTCTTGGGAACAAAGGACAGAGAAGGATGGGCTTCCTAACTGTAGCACGTCCAGCAGTGGGTTCAGAAGAATTAACTCAATTATTTTTCGGATACATCTTCCAGAGTAGAGACAGTGTGCTCTCTGAGGTCAGACTGGTTCCAATTCCAGCCCATGAATGAATTCCTATTAGCACCTTCCTGTACATTATTTACTGTGGTCCTCATATACCCCCAGAGGACAAAATCACTGGCCACCCCCCCCCCTTCCATAGATGATAAACACAGGGAGGTCAGACAACTTCTTCTCCATTCAACAAGGCTAACTGATCTGTATTGCTGTCAGGGTAGCACCAGTGGGAGCAGACAGACCCTAATCTGTACTGCAGTTTAGGAGACCAGGGCTACCATCACCTCTGATTTTGGGGAGGGGCACAGAAACACTAAGGTCACAGCTACAGGACTGAGAAGGGGATGCTTGGGACCTAAATCCAAGGCCCACTGCCTTGAGCACATCCCTGGACTTTATGCCAAGGGTCTGGCCCATCTCCCCTGAGAGAAAGCAGCTCAGAGCCTGGGGCTCTAGACACCCAGGTGACCACCCTGTCACCATTCCCAGTGGCCTGAGCAGGGCCAGCCCATGGAATCCAGACCCCATGTCCCTGGGCTTAAGCCAGGTGACCACCAAACAGGTAGGCCTTGGTTAAACCCCTCAAGGCCTGCAGGCTTTGCCTGGAACCTTCCTCATGACTCTCCTATGGCATTGGGCTGCTTAAGAGTGGGCAAGGGGGTCCAGCCTGATGGGGTCAGTGCCAGTTATTCTGTTATTCTCACTGCGTGATTCCCTGCTCTGTAATCCCTGCTACCTAAACAAATTCCAGCCAGGGGTGGCCACATACCATATTCTGGCTGGTGAGGTCAAAGTGCAAGTCTACCTGGTGGAGGTTATGGTAAAAAGACACCCGGCATGGCTCTTGATCTCTTCCCTCCCTCTTCTAACTGGATCAGTGGTCTGGTGTAGCAGCCACCATGAAGACAAAACTCACAAGCTAAGGAAGATGGAACAAAAAGAAGGAACCTGTGTCCCTGTGTTGCCGCCTGGTGTGCCCGGAAGCTGGGGCCTTCTGTGTCTGGATTGTGTTACATAGAGCAATAAACCCGTCATGGTTTTCAGCCAATCCTGTTGACTTTTCTGGGTGTGTAGATGAAAGGATGTCTGCCTCAGGAGGTTGAGATCATGCAGGTAAAATGTGTAGACATAAACTGCTCAGTAACTGGGAACTGACAGTTGTTCTTGGTTGGTCTGCACCCTGAGCAGGTACAGATACCTCTGTTTCCCAGTGAGACACTACTGGTGTGACTGCTGCCTGAGTTAGCACCGAGAGCTGGGAGGTTCCTGCCCTACCCTGAGCCACTGGAGAGGCCCACATGGGACTGCCCACTGGGGCCCCACTGAGACACCACCCTTATCACGGGAAGGATGCCTGTGCCCTGCCCCCGGCTCCACACCCTGTCTAGAGAGTCCTCTCAGGCCATTGCGATGGGGATTTGTGGTTGGAACGCAGAGACTTTGATTCCATTCCAATTGTTGCCTCAACTGAGAATACATAAAGGCACCTGGGACCTTCCTTCCTTGAGGAAATATCGAGGCAGCATCGCCAGGTGCACTGACGTGACACAAAGTGGCAAGAGGAAGGGACAGTCCTAAAGACCTGAACAAGTACAACAATCAAGATGGTGAGATGAGCTGAGAATGAGCTTTGGCAGGGGGTGGCAGGCAATGGGTTTGAGTGTGGTCTTCTCCGAGGAGGAGGGAAGTGCTGAGACAAGGGCATGACTGGTATGTTGAAAGACCAGCAAGGAAGCACAAAGGCCGGAGCTCAGGGAGGGCCAGTTGAGTAGTGAGGCCAGGGGGATGGGCAGGGGCTTGAGGGCCACAGGAGGGTCATGTGTCCCCTGGGAGAATTTCATCTCCCAAAGACCCGGGTTTTTTGTCTGTGTCATCACAGATGTCCCCATGCCTGGGACAGGACCTGGCCACAAGTAGGTACGAAGTAAATGTCCAATGGTTGAAGAGATAGAATGACTATGCAAATATGCACAGACAGAGTCAGGCTGCAGAGTGAGAATTAAACAGATGTATAAAGATGAGACAGTGTGAGGGAGAGGGACAGACAGACAAGGTGACTTGGATTCCTAGGGGTTTCCAGACACTGTTTTCTAGCCTTCATAAGGCTCAGCTGCCCCCAAGCCTGTCTGTCCCCCACTCTGTTTCTTTACAATAAACTCCTTCTGTCCTTTTGCTCATCCAAGTGTCCTGTACCGCACGTCCTCAAAGAATCCCTGTGTCAGTTCCTGCCACCTGGGCCCGAGGTCTCTTTATTCTTAACCAGTGGGATGGGGCTCCCCGTGAACGATTGTGCCCCTAGGACAATGACATCTTGTCTGTGTCATGGACTCTGTCTTTCACACTCATCTGCCCATCTGAGTCACCACCTGGCCCAGAGCAAGCAGCCCTTTCCCTGGGACCCGGAGAGTTTCACCTTGGCTCACCACTCAAAGAAGCAAACTTTGGTGAATTCAGATCGTCCCCTCCCAATACTGACCCATATACTGACAGTTTCCTGGATTGGGATCTGATCAATATATTCCCACTCCCAGCACTACACCTGGGAGTCCTGGGTCTCCTTCCGTTATGTGTGCAACACTTATGGGGGCGGGGGATGCTTGTATTTTCCTATTTTCATCAGAGAATGTGGTCCAGAGCGTTCTCAAACACTGCCAGGCTGAGGCTTGAATCATGACACTGCCTGTCAACACAGTGACACATAATTCACTGTAGAACATAGGTCACGAGACATCCATTGACTTTGGCTGGACTTACCAAAGTTGGGCTGAAGCGGGGAGGGTTAGCATTGCTGTGGGTGACTGTGATCACAGCTGTCCCTGTAGAACTTAAGCCTTCACCTTGGAGGTCAGCAGCTTGAATTGTCAGGGTGTATACGGAAGCGATCTGCAGACAAGCAGGTGGCAGTCAGCACTGGGGATGATAGATGCAGGTTTGGCCCATCTATCCAGTGGCACCCAGAGAGTAAATGTGGAATGCCTGAGGCAGCAAACCTGGCGGACCCTCCCTTCCAGTAAATGACTGGCTCCCGGGAGCGACGGTCCTGTCAGGCTCTCAAGGAGAGGCTGACATGCTGCCCCGTACCTCAGCTTTCACCTTGGCTCACCACTCAGAGAAGTCAACTTTGGTAAATTCGGACCATCCTCTCCCAGAACTGACCCAGGAGGAAAGTTTCCTGGATTGGGATTTGATCAATATATTCCCACTCCCAGCACTACACCTGGGAGTCCTGGGTCCCCCTTCAGTTATGTGTGCAACACTTACGGGGGCGGGGGATGCTTGTATTTTTCTATTTTCACCAGAGAATGTGGTCTGAATCCCTGGGAAACAGAATCATTTCATTTCGTCAGTTACAGGAATTGTCTTGTGGCTCACATTTCTAATTCACCCCAGTGATACCTTAGGGCTTGCTATATGCCCAGGGCTCAAAGTCAGCCAGGCGGGAGGGTGGGGGGGGGGGGCATCAGCGGGAACCCTGTCTGTGGCAGATAGATGCCTCTTCTGATTGGTTGGTTCATGGTCTAACAGTCAGGAGTCTCTTTTGATTGGTTGAGTGCCTATTCTGACTGGCTGGGAACCTGTTCTGATTGGCTGGTGTCTGCTCCGATTGGCTCATGTTTGTTCTGATTAGTCAGTGTTCTGACTTGTGCCCGAGCCTTACCAGCTGGGACAAATGTACATTTAACTGCACTACCCGGTAGCCCCTCTTGACCCCTGACCTGTTGGTCCAACCCAGAAGTGAGCACAGCGATGATTCCTGTGTCCTGGTTGATGGTGAGCATGTTGGGGTGAGGCACCGAGGGGTCTTGGCTGAGGTCTTGGCCGAGGGGTCAGTGGCCGCATTGTAGGTGTTCTCATGGTCATCTGCGTCCGTTGCTGTGATTTGCATCACGGAGGTTCCTACAAGGACAAAGGGGAGAAGAGTTGATGATTTCAACAGCTAACAACTGGCAGGGCAATACAAATTAACACAGAAATCTAAAATTAAATGTGTTCTTTTTTTGGTCTATTCACTATACAGGTGACAAAAGTACTTATCAAGTGGTATAAGTTCTAGTTCAAATAATTCACCAAATTATTATAATAATTTACAAATGATTTGTTTACTTTTTCCAGAAATCTTTAGGGCGTCCTTTAAAATTTTTTTTAGTTATTTTTCTTTTTAAAGATGTATTTATTGGGGCGCCTGGGTGGCGCAGTCGGTTGGGCGTCCGACTTCGGCCAGGTCACGATCTCGCGGTCCGTGAGTTCGAGCCCCGCGTCGGGCTCTGGGCTGACGGCTCGGAGCTTGGAGCCTGTTTCCGATTCTGTGTCTCCCTCTCTCTCTGCCCCTCCCCTGTTCATGCTCTGTCTCTCTCTGTCCCAAAAATAAATAAATGTTGAAAAAAAAAATTAAAAAAAAAAAAGATGTATTTATTTATTTAAGTAATCTCTACACCCAACATGGGGCTTGAACTCAAGACCCCAACCGAGAACAAGAGTTGCTCATTCCGCTGACTGGGCCAGCCAGGTGCCCCAGGGCATCTTTTAAAAAATGTATTTTATTTTATTTTCTAAGTTTTTATTTCAATTCCAGTTAGGGGCGCCTGGGTGGCTCAGTCGGTGAAGCGTCAGACTTCGGCTCAGGTCATGATCTCGCTGTTTGTGAGTTCGAGCCCCGCGTCAGGCTCTGCGCTGACAGCTCGGAGCCTGGAGCCTGCAGCCTGCTTCGGATTCTGTGTCTCCCTCTCTCTCTGCCCCTCCCTGACTTGTGCTCTGTCTCTCTCGGTCTATCAATCAATCAATCAATCAATCAATAAATAAATGTAATAAAAAAATTAACAAAAATAAATTCCAGTTAGTTAAAATACAGTGTAGTATTAGTTTCAAGTGTACAATATAGTCATTCAAAAATTCCACACCTCCCCTGGTACTTATCTCGACAAGTGCAGTCCTTAATCCCCGTCACCTATTTAACCCATCCCCCACCCCGCTCCCCTCTGGTAACCATCAGTGTGTTCTCTGTAGTTAAGTCTGTTTCTTGGTTTGCTTCCCTCTCTCTTTTGTCTTTAGGGCATCTTTTGACATGGCTGTCGCTGTGGGATCTTGTCCCTCATTAACATGATACTTCAGGGTGCTGAGATGTTATTAGGTGCTCAAGGGGAGGGTCAGGTGACCATTTCATATCTCATCTTTCCAACTGTTCTACTGATCTCAGGCCTCTTGTGTCATTCTTCCTTCCCTGCCATTGTCAGGGGAGTCCCATCTGGCCACTGGCCACACATCTGAGCTAGAGCCAAGCACGTAAGCCAGATGGAGGGAAGTGGTGAGAGAGTGGACAAAGGCAGGTGGGGGCAGTGTGTCATGGTAGCTAGAACCAAGCCTCTAGAGTTTGGTCCGCTGAGAGAACCTGAAACAGATCTGTCCCCTACGTGGGTGATAAGAAGACAGCTAGTGCTGGCCAGTGAGCCATGGTTTGTGGTAGGGCCAAAGGCAGCACGAAGATAGAAAATACAGAGAAGAGGAGGAAGAAAGCATTAGTGGCTGTTATGGCGGGCCAGAAGGGAGAAGAAAGCATCCATCATAATGTCATTTCACATGAAACACCCTGTGATTTTTCGGCTTCATTTATCTTCAGTCCGAGAGAATGAGGACCTCAACATCCATTCCCAAAATGTCCGGTTGGAAGTTGTGAGCATGTGGTCCTGTCAGTGTTGCCTATGATGCCGTCATGGGATCCACAGGTTTAGTGTCATGTCTGGAAGTGTAACAACAGCTCCTCGATGTGTAAGGAAGAGCCTGTTGAAACCAGAGTGGCCCCCTAATCAAGAATAATCAGTCAGATTCGTGTTTGTAGGAGCATGTATTAGGAAATATGTAGGGAGAAATGGAAACTGACGCAGAAAGGGTGTGTCGAGGGAGCTATGAAGTGAGAACGGCCACAAGGGGAGGAGGGTCTGCCAGTGGCACCAGTTACAGAGATGCAGAGACCAGCAAATGCAGACAGGACATAGAGACAGAATTGAGGCAACCAGTGAGCATCACCTGGACAGTAGCAGACCCATGATTCCTGGACTTCCTTGGCCCCAAAAGGACCTTCTTGCTTTATGGTCCCTTTTGGCCCCTCTTTGTGGGATCCTTTCCACCTGTAGCCCTCCCCAGTCCCGACTTTTTTGAGCAAGCCTGAGAGGGTTTCTATTGCTTGAAACCCCACCCTAAAAAAATAAAAAAATAAAAAAAAAGAAGAAAGAAAGAAAGAAAGAACAAGTCATTGCAGTCCTTGATCTGTCCCTTCCAATCTCCAAGTGGAAACTTTCCATGCACTGGAGCCCAGGGTGTGGATTCGTAAGATCTCCTCTGGTTTTTACACTTCAGTTTCCCAGATTCTTTGTATCTCCCCTGATTTTACTGCCATGTGTCACTAAAGCCCTCCATTGTTCAAATTAACCTGGGTGGGCTCTTTCCATCACAGACGCCTCAAAGACCACCCGGGTGAATTCAGGCTTGTTGTCATTTGGGCCTACCACTGTGATCACAGTCTCCGTAGGCTCTTCCACAGCATTCCCAGTCGAAGACGCAGCATGAAAGAAAAGCTGAAAAGCAATAAAGGTGCAGAAGAGGCCAGCGAGTGGGCATCTGTCCCACTTTGGGCGTCATACGCCGTAATTTTCACAGCACAGGTCAACCCTGTTCTGTGAAGGTGGGAGTGCACAAAGGTGTGGTAATGAGAGGTAGATTTTGGGGGGCCATCTTGCAGGCTGGTGGCCACACTGGCAATGAGGTTTTGCTGAAGGGGAGGAAGAAGGAACAGACCTGTCCTCATCTGGAAGTGATCAGCTTCCCAGAAGAGTTTCAGGTCAGTTCTGGTGGGAAATGGAGGCAGGAATCACCTGGCAGCTTGGGGCTTCTCCTCCCCTTATATTGTGAGCTCCTCTGCCAGCATTATTCCTAACTCTGCCCCTTCTGCAATGGCTCATGCTAAAGTCACAGAACATTGAGGGTTGGGCTGCTTTCTCAGCATGAGGCTTTACAGGGAAGAGAATTGTCCCCTCTTCCTATAGGGAAAGAAAGCCACAAATACTCACCTTCCCTTACAAAAGCATAAGGGACTAGAGAAAATAATAATGAATATTTATTATTGAAATCCACATAGTTTATGTAGAGAATGTTCACAAGCCAGGCATAGGGAGAGGGACAGAAGGATCACTGTTGGAAGTCATGGGGTTTGGGTGCCCCCTGGATGGCCCATACTCCTTTTGGTATCTCCTGTAAAGTGTGGGACTTGGGATTTAGCCTCCATGAAGCCATCCTAGTAGGAACTGGGCTGAGATGCATACGATTCCTCAGAAGCAGGAAGCTAACTCCTGCAGGAGGGATGTGATAGTGGCTCTCGTTCATTGTGCTTCCTAGAACACCATTGCCTCCTCTTTGTATTGGAAGTCAGTTCTGGTTCTAAGAAAAGATGTCAACATCCCCGCTTACCCAGTGGTGCATGTAACATGCTTATTTCACGTTCACTTGCAGTCTTGCTACTTCCACCCATTGTGTCCCTGGGAATTGTGTGCTCCTGGGGTGGGTGGATCTTACATGTGAATGGGTGGCCGCTCACTTGTGCATATCTGCCCTGCTCACGGCATGCTCCACTGTCCTTTCAGACTTCACTTACCATGCAGGAGTCTAAAGATAAAATAGTTAAGAGTTTCAGATGACCACAGCTGTGCATTAAACCATATGGGGCCCGGGCACAAGGTAAGTGTACCGTAGAAGCTGCTGAGCCATGGGCTCTGTGAACATTGTATGCAGATGGGCCAGTGAGTGAGATCAGAGACTCACTTACTGTACGTCCAGTTCCTGCAGATGCTGACCCCACAGTCTCTTCTCAGGAAGGGCTGGGTGAGCGTCTGGGTTTACACGTTATTGTCGGTACTGCCTGCCTGTGTTGAGGGGGGTTCAGAGCTGCTCAGGCTCAGTGGGAAGGGCAGTGGCCTGGAGGGAGATGGACCCACCCACTTTGCATCCCTGACCTCACAGCTCTTTCTCAGGGTAGCTGAGTCTGTTCAGAGAAAGCACTGGTGTCTGTCCAATTTATGAATCTGGCTCCCTGCCCCCTACCCTACCTACTCTTTTTATCTTCCTTGTGCAGCGCTAAAGCCCTTGAAGACACGGGCATTGAAAGTTGTGCAAGAGAGAGAGTAACAAAGAGGGAGGGACTTGTATTCTTGGCATCTCTGTACCAGATTCTGCCTATGCTTACTCAACTTTGAACATCAAACCAAGGGCTGGGGTCACCATTCCCGTTCTCCGGCTTATAAAACAGGCACAGAGGGGTTGAGTATCTTGCTCTGTGTCACACAACTGGTGAGGGCAGATCTGAGAATCAAACCCACTGTGGGCTGATATGGAATTCATGTGCTGTGCACCTGATGCCAGCAAGGAGAGAGTGAGAGAGAGGAGGTGCCCCAGACTGAGCCAGGCACATGGATGTACATACACATAGGTGTGTATACATACACACGTGTGTGTCCCTCCCCCCACCCAGTGTTCACCTCTGAGGCTACAAGGGAGGAGGGACACCAAGAGAGGAACCATGAGAAGCCAAGGGAGGAGGGTGGCAGCAAAGGACAGGCGTCTATTAGGGGAAAACACCATGCTTCCCAGGAGACTAGGGCATTCCCTTCCCTGATGAGTCTGTCTCAAATCTTAAATTTCTCTCCCTGGCCCAGAAATTCTCTACTGGTCTAACTAGATTCACTCCTGACTTTTATACCTTTCCAGGGGTTAAGTTCCTGTGGAGACCTGGGCCAAGAGCATGAGTTCTCTGGCCCTCCTGGACCCTTCTGCTTTCAGTGATAAGGGGGGAAGAGGTACATGATGTGGAGTTTGGATTTGAATGCACACAAAATTTATTAGAACAGGAGGCCAAAAAACCGTGGAGGGGATTGGCGTCAACATCCCCAGAAACACTCAAGGAACCTTCCCCCGTTTGTATACCTCATCTCTTGCCCTGAAAGTAGAGGATTTGTTTAACCTGTTATATCTGCTCTCATTATATTCTTGGGGAGTGTAAGGGGTCAGTAGGCTTCTTCTGAACCTCCCTCAGAGCTGGGGTATGGAGTGTGTGGTAGCTACATTTGTTCTCTGGTAGCTGAGATGCAATTTATTGGTAAAGCCTTGTCCATCCTTCCTGCAAACATAGGGCTTCT